AAGCTGTCAAATTTTTCACCTATTTTGATACGGTTGGCACAGGAAGATAAAATTAAATAAACAAAACTTTTATCAACTTTTTATTATATACAGATATAATATTTTTTTACAAACTACGTATTCTAAATATTATACTTTTATAATTTTTGTTCGTCAACAATTTGTTTTGCCTTTTATTTTAATAGTATATTCTATATCTAACATAAAGTTTTTAAATAATCTATTGGAAAGCACTCACATAGCATAACAAATATATAATAGTGCACACGTTTTAATATTTCATTACCAATACTACAATAATTTCTTATTAATTTTAAGTTTCTGAAAAATGTTAGCATTTCTTACCGTAATGATGATGATGACAATGAATTGTCGGTAACACTTTTATAATTTCTTTAAATATTTGTTTGAATAATATGCTGTATTTATTTGAGCAATTGTTGGTTAACCTAAAAAAGAGAGGGAAAAAATACACAAAATTTTATTATATTTAAATGTTTATTAAAATTACAACAATTTCAATATAATTGACGTGGTAGAGCCATGCTGCAGTTATATTAGCAGTATAGTTGTAGCACGAATGGGTCGGCTCGACCGGGGAAGGACCACACTCTCACAGAATACCAGCGTGAAATAGTAGCTCAACGCTGCTATATTTCGTATGGTGAGTGTAGAGAACCGGAGACCCTTTTTACTGTACACGAGGCATTCCATCTCAGTCCTCACGGGTGACAACGCATCTGCATTTTGATTCGTAATGGAGGATAGATGTAGATGTCTACGGGCCACAGCATCCACTTACCATCAGGTGGACTGTGTGCTCGTTTGTCACCCTATTCTATAAAAAAAAAATTCTCATATCAATTGAAAATGATGCAAAGAAAAACTTCAGACACTGCAGATGCATCGTCTAAATTAGTGGATATTAGCGTCCAACTATACTTTTTCCTTAAAAATCAGATGTAGAAAATTTTATGAGTGTTCTCACATATTACGTTTAAGTCATCGGTTCGAAACTTATCTTAAATTCAAACATGCATCTTTCTATCCGCTACGTTATTTTTATTTTAAAACAGGTATACGCAATTTGTAACTACTAATAAAATTTATAAGTGTGGTAGCGTCCTGTTTGTGGCCTATTTATTCTATTTACTGTGACTGCGGCGATATATTCTGCCGTAGCCTGCTTACATGAATTAAACATGAAAACCGAAGTTCATTTTAGCGCAACATAACTTATTTCTTTATTTATAGTAGATGTAAAAACCTAAATATGTTAAATCATTTTCTAAAGTATTATGCATTTGCGTGCCGATGACCGATAAGATCTTTAAAGTTAACGGCATGCACGTAAGTGCAATGTATGCATACTTTCATTTAAGTTAGAATACTTCCAGCCCTAAGTATTAAGTAAGTTCATAAAAGAATAATATGACGACTTTTACAAATTACAACGTATGAGGTCCTATTGCTCGATTGATAATAGAAAATCCTTTAACAATCCAGCATATAGATGACGGTTAGCAGTATACCAATGTATCAAACAAAGCAATTCAATCAAAGCATTCTGTTTCTGATATCGGACTTTACGATTTACTTGATACTGTCAAAAATATGTTTAAAAAATAATTACCTATGAAATTACATTCCAATTTTGAATATTATAAATTTTGGGTATAGTGCTCATGCTAATGTGCTCATTGTCTGGCCATAGAATAAAAATGTTGCCACATTAAAATTTTCAGTCAAAGTACTTTGTCATTTAAACGAAGTAATAAAAAGAGATTTCAAGTTAAATACCATTTCGATAAACATAAAAACTTTCCTGGACGTACATGACACACAGAACTACAATATGCATTCAAAATATGGGTACGGTTTTTCCAGATCGCAATAATAATTTAGGTACCATTATAATTTCTTAATTTATATCTCTATATCTGGAACAATTTAGGTGTATAAAGTATTAAGCCTGTTAAAAGAGCTACGGATGAATTTATAACTGTCGAAGAATTTTTTCCTTATTAATTGTTTATGTTATTCGTGCCTTGTATCGGCTTATTTGTGGGTTTTACCACACCAATCGATCGATCCTCGATCGCTGCTATAGATCGACGTCGATCGATGGCGATCGACAATTATTCGATGTGGTTGTGGGCTGCGTAATATCTCAAACGAGAACTTCATACAACTAAACACATGCAGGTAGTCAGCGCGAGGGTAGCAGGCAGTAGCGAGTGACGATAGTGAGCGTTCGGTGGAGCGGGGCTGGTTCTCGAATAATTAAGCAGCTCGATCGATGTCAACCGTTCATTTTACCATCGATTGGTGTGGTACCACACTATGTCAATAGAACGCTTGTTGACAACTGTAGCGCCTTCAACAGTGGCTTTTACAATCCATTCCAGTTGAAGGAGAAGCTACAGCTCTCCCTTTTCTCTCAATTTATATCTGCACGAATTATTTCGGGCGCCATCTTTATACCATCAAGCGTACCAGCATGCATTTTACACTAAATCAAGCGGAGGAGAACCTCATGTACCACACAGGTATCTATCAAAGAAATGATGAAGGCCTTGATAGGCATCTCTTTTATAAACTAAGCACTTTTAGCAATACCACCTTCTTTTAAAAAGAGTCATGGGAATTCCACAGCCATTCGCATTCACACATAACTTGTCCTGTTTACTGTAAGCATCTGCAATAGCCAAAACTGTATCTTCTTTTCCTCAATGTTTGTCTGAGAATTTTCTCCCTACACCGGACTTACAAGAAGAAATTTATAGTTTAGGTCGTGCCACGAAAGATGAAATTAAATAGAGTCCACTGCGCATGTACAATCAAGCAAAAAAGTGAAAAATTTTTATTTTCCATTTTAATATGTAAAAAGTCAAAGGTCAACATTATAACTACACATCAAAGTCTCCACGAAAACTGAACGATATATTTATATATCGTCGTTAGGTTTTAACTGCTTCTAAATAATATTCCGCATTTTATGTACTCTTAGTTAAAGAAATAAAATATTTTGTATTTGTAATTGCCTTCAATTATAAGGATATTTTACATGCAATAATTTGCAAAAAAAAATCATCTTGTAGAAAATAACAAAATATTGACAACTTTATACAATATACTACGAATTACGCTATTTTAAATAGTCCCAAAATAATTTATAAAGTAATAAATATTCGCACACTATTTAAAAATATTATAGAACAATATTTTAAAAGCACAAAAATTATTGCAAAAATTTAAAATTTTATACCAGGTAGTCGCTAACACTTTCGATATCGATAGTACACAAGACGACACAAGATGTTGCGCGGGCGACGGGACACAGGGAGAAACTTGGGAGTAGCGCGTCGCCCGTTGCTATGGTTTCGCTTCCCCGTACCTCACACCTCACCGTGCCGACACCTATTTTTCGCTTCAGCGCACTTCCACGACTCGTGGCGTTGCCTATACATAGTACGGTACCTCCACATGATGTCATAACTGTCGTAGCCCCTTGAGACGTTCACAAGAACGCAATGGTCATCAAGGCCCTCAGTCGCATAGGAGCTATGGATAGCACCATCTCTAATAAATATTGGCAGCAGTTATTGACAAATATTTAATCGTTTCCATAAGCTGAGAAGAGAAGCAAATTACAGAAATTATCATGGATAATGCCTTTGACTTAGCATATTTTTATCATTTACTTAAATGGTTATTAATGGTATTCTATAATACTCTTTTGGCTAAAACTAGTTTTTCCCTTCACGATGTTACCAGCGTCACTTATTATGAGATCGCATAATACGGAGATACGTAATACTATAATTTATTTTGTGACGGAGAGCTCAAGGTATGTCATAAAAAATTTGTCAAATTTTGGCGTAATAATGATCGGAGAATTTAAGTTAGACTCAGGCTTGTAGAGCCGTGGTAGCTCAGATGGTTAACGCTCGCTGTAAATATAACAGAATGCGAGTAATCCGGGTTCGATCCTCGCCGGCATCAATGAAATCGTTAATTGCAATTTTAAGTGCTGATTTACCACATGCTCGGTAGTGAACATAGTGAGGAAACCTACATATCTGAGGAATAAGAAAAAAAAATATTTTGAAGACATGTGAAGTTCGCCAACACGCATTGAGGCAGCGCGGCGGATACTTCCTTGCCCTAAAACTCTCTCATAAATGAGGGGAGGCCTGTGCCCAGCAGTGGGACGTATATAGGCTGTAACAGGCTTGTCAAATGGTAAAAACCTCTCTTATAATCTTTCCCTTCATACGCCATTACATTCATCCTCTTTCTTTAGTAAATCACTTGTCATTACGTATTGGCCGTGCTTGAATCCTTTTTTCCCTATAAAGTCTACTTAAAACTTAATAGACCGGGAGCTGGTGACAGGTGACGTTCCACGATTTTGTAGTGCTAGCCTTTTTAAGGCTTGATAACTAACCCTAAAATATCAAAGATTGTCGGGGCTTTAGCCCCCCCGCGCGTCCTCTTCATAAGGAAAAGCGCTTTTCTTTGTGTAGCGAATTTTCGTGTTTTTCCGTGATAGTATACTGCATGCCATTGTAATATACGGAAGTTCAAGCAAATTGAAGCTCTAATAATTGATGGCATGCACCCCGCAGCGGCTCAAGATGATCAAAGGGTTCTGAAAACCTGTAAAAATTAAAGGGCAATTCCGTGTTTTCAAATTGCATGCCGATGTAAAGAATGGAAGTTTTTGTAATAAAAACACTCTGGAAAAATTGGCATGCACCCTTCGTATGACCAACGGTGGAAAATTTTCGGAAAACTCTGTAAAAATTGAACTCCGATTTTCCGTGATTCCAAACTGCATGCCATTGAAAGTATACTTAATTTGTATCATTATTTAATAGTAGGAAATTTGGCACGCACACCAGGATGTTGCAAAATAGAAGCATGCATGGCGTAAGTTGCAAAAAATACTGTGCAAATTTAGGTGACTTGTTTTTGCATGCCGTTTTGTATTTCATGAATTTACATTATTTCAAGTCATGAACGTAAATGGCATGCATGTCCCAGCCCAACATACCAAAATTGTGGAAAATTTGAATAAACATCAATTTTTCAATTGAAACAAAAAACTGAAAAATGCCGCGACTTCTTCTTGCATGCCGCTTTGTATCGAGTAGATACTATTTCAAACCGAAATGCGAAATGGCATGCATGTAGCTTCATGGAAATTGTTTAAATAAACAAAAAAACAAGGTTTAGTATTTTATAAGAGTAAGATAAGTTATATATGAAATAAATATTAACAAAATTTATTTTAATATAATTATAGGATTATTGATAAGCTGCATTTTTCTCATTGCATCAATCAATGTTGATAAAATAATTTTTGGAGCGCATTTTCGAATTTGAAAACCCCGCGAATCTAAAAGTATTGTTGAAATTATTATTAATAATTGAAAATAATTTGATAAAATCAGAAAGCACTGAAAATAAGTTTCTATCGAATTTTATAAGACTTTTATGTGAAAAAATTTAAGTTTTTTAATTTAATCATTTTTGAAGTTCGAATTTCGCGCCCAAGTTCTGCATTTTCGGGACGTCCCATGTAAATTCACCCTTGTATTTCTTTCTACTCATGCTTTTATCTTTTCACATTGGAGGTCATTATTCTACTAGAAATTTCATTACTGTACGATCAGTTGTCTTTTGATCATTTAACAGAATGATAACTGAAAAACATGTTTTTCTTTAATTTTCATAGCCCCAAAAGAAAGCGGCGCTAATGACGAGGAAGTCATATCGATGTATCCAAATTTTGATAATGAAGAGGATGACGAATCGAATAATGACGATGACAGCGATTGCCAATCCGATATTGGCTACACAACGGAAGAAGAGTCCGTACATAGCCGCGATGATGATGATGATAATGATAATGATAATGTCGATAATGATGAAGCGGTTGATGATAATGATAATTAATAATACTTCACATTTAAAATAATGATGCTGCTAATAATTTTTTACTTTCATTTTTCATAAAAAATTTAGAAAAAAAATTATAAAATCGGACCATTTTTTTTGTTTATTTAATCAATTGTCATAAAGCTACATGCATGCCATTCTGCATTTCAACTTGAAATAGTATCTACTAACAAAATACAAAGCGGCATGCAATAAGAAGTCACGGCATTTTTCAGATTTTTTTTTCAATTGAAAAATTGATGTTTATTCAATTTTTTCAAATTGTGGTATGTTGGGCTGTAGCTACATGCATGCCATTTACGTTCATGACTTGAAATAATGTAAATTCATGAAATACAAAACGGCATGCAAAAACAAGTCACATAAATTTGCACTATCTTTTTTGCAAATTTTATTATTATTTATAATACGATGAGCTTATTCAACATGCAGGCCATTTGAATTAGATAATTATTTCGTTATAAAATTAATATTCATCCTTATTAGGAGTAATTTGGAATCACGGAAAATCGGAGTTCAATTTTTTCAGAGTTTTCCGGAAATTTTCCACCGTTGGTCATACGAGGGGTGCATGCCAATTTTTCCAGAGTGTTTTTATTACAAAAAATTCCATTCTTTACATCGCCATGCAATTTGAAAACACGGAATCGCCCTTTAATTTAATTCAGGTTTTCAGAACTCTTTGATCATCTTGGGCCGCTGCGAGGCGCATGCCATCAATTATTAGAGCTTCAATTTGCTTGAACTTCCGTATATTACAATGGCATGCAGTATACTATCACGGAAAAACACGAAAATTCGCTACACAAAAGAAAAGCGCTTTTCCTTATGAAAAGCACGCGCGGGGGGGCTAAAGCCCCGACAATCTTTGATATTTTAGAGTTAGTTATCAAGCCTTAAAAAGGCATGCACGACAAAATCGTGGAACGTCACCTGTCACCAGCTCCCGGTCTATATTACTTTGAACTCTAATATTTCCAATCATATTTAGGCTTATTATAAAGGCTTATTATAAAGGGCTTCTTCGTTCAAACTCTTAGTAAGTTTCGAGTCGATCGCCCAGTAAAATAAAATTTCGTGGAAACTGTTATACCCTCTAAGGGATTGACTTTTCAGAAATCCCTTTTTAGAGGATACACACATCATAAAAGGCAACTACTGTCCAAATTTCAGATTACTACGGATGTGCGTCTTAATACAATAATTTTCATATAAACTTTGCACCCTCGTTTTAAGACCTTAAATGTCAATTTATTTTTTTTATTTTAGAGTATTTAGTTTCGAGTCAACTGTTCCGTAAAATAAAAAGATTCATACAAACTGCAAAACGAGAATGTAAAACAAAATTAGGAAAATTCTTCCCTTAGGGGTTGAAATTTCCTAATTTTACTAATGCCTACGTTATAAAAGTCAGCTACTCTCCAAATTTCAGTTTTTTACGTCCAGCGGTTTGGGCTGTGCGTTGATAAATTTTTATGTTGAATAAAGTCAGTCACTCAGGACATTCGCTTTTAATATATATATATATATATATATATATATATATATATATATATATATATTATAGAATGAGGGTGATAAACGAGCACACAGTCCACTTGATGGTACACACATAGACGTCTACGTTTATCTTCAATTAAGAATCAAAATGCAGATGCGTTGTCACCCCTGAGGACTCAGATGGAATGTCTCGTTTCCAGTAAAAAAGGTCTTCAGTTCTCTACACTCACCATACGAAACACAGCAGTATTAAGCTGCTATTTTATGCTGGTATATTAAATGGTAAATTACTACATAGCATATTAAAATTAACAGAACAAAGAAATAATAAAGGGAACATAAGTTGTCATCACTACCAAACAATGACAATATAACAAACGTATTTTTTACAATAACTTATACTACATAGTTGCGTTAGTCGTTTTATACCTGCCAAATTGGCGATTTTGGCAAACTAATGCAAAGCTATATTTACAGCCTAAAGAGGAGGAGGTTTTTTTATAGGATAAGGGTGACAAACGAGCACACAGTCTACCAGATGGTAAGTGGTTACTGTGGCCCATAGACATCTACATGTATCCTCGATCAAAATGCAGAACTTCTTACGAATCAAAATGCGGATGCGTTATCGCTCGTGAGTACTAAGACGGAATGCCTCGTTTCTAGTAAAATGGGTCTACGGTTCGCTACACTTTCCATACGAAACACAGCAACGTTGAACTGCTATTTTACGCTGGTATTCCGTGCGAGCATGGTCTTACATGCGTGCTGCAACCACAATATAGCTGCAGCATGGCTCTACCACGTAAAAAATGGCACTGTTATCGAGATCAAGAAATCACCCGTGCGAAGTCGGGCGGATCGCTACTGTGCAATAAAAAAAACTATGAATTCGATCGCAATTTTTTTTACAAAGGTCTCAAAAGTCTACATATAATTGTACACGACGATTGGATATTTTATTACAGTTAGATGGCAGTACACACACATGCATCACGAAACAATGTGGAGGTGGCGTAGCACGTAACATGGCGGAAGCTTTATGGCGGTTGAGAGGTGGTGGCGTGCGCCTGCTCACTGCCATCGGTGACGACTCCGACGGGCAATACATTTCCAACATCGTACCTGGCCTCTTACTGGATGGTGATTAACAGTTTTTTTACAATCCAATAAACTAGATACTTAAATAAAGGCTTGATGATATATATGTATGTTCTACAAGTTGATTTTCTTGGCGACTACTTTTATTGTGGAATTAAGGTGACAAAAATAAAAAAACAGTTACCGTTACAACTCATTAATGTCCACTGTAAATAGGCTTCTGCCATAGTGTGCCTCGCAATGGGAACTTATACCATAGTTGCCATACTTGGCAAGCGGGTTGCCAGCCGCAGTTTTTTATTTTTAGCCGTTATTAGAAAGACGTTACTGCCTACGAGGGTGACACTGAAAGTTCTTAGAAAATCAAAAACTGAACATGCTAGCAAGTTATCAGTTTTATCTTTACAAAATAGTGTCCATTTACATCAATACATCGCTGCATCCGATGGAACCACGGAGGAAAGCATTTTGCCCCCTCGTCCCTTCGACGGGATTTTGAAAAATCTCATGGTGCGAGATCGGGTTTATAGGGTGGGTGACACAGTAATTCCATGTCTGACGTCGCCAAGTAGTCGATTATTTGCTTGAAGATGTGCGACGAGGCGTTGTCGTGGTGAAGGAGGATCCTACTGCGAGGTCGTTTCTCCCAAATTTTTCCAAGACAACTGGCAAACAATTGTTAGTGTACCGCTCTGTAGTAACGGTTTTCGATCCTCTAAAACAATTGTTGCGTAATGACCTGCCCTTCCGAAGAACGAGGACACTATCTTTTTTCCTACGCTTTGACCTCACTTCACTTTAGTTGGGAACTCCTCGGAAACAAACGCCCAGACAACACTGTTTCTTAGTTTTAGGACCATAACAATAAATCCAGTTTTTCTCACCCGTAAGTTTGTCGAATACAGCATTTGAGTCACCTCCGTTAAATCTTTAAAACAATTCACGACACCAACAACACGACGGAGTCTTCGAGTCTCTGTCAAATTATGAGGTATTCACCGGGCACAAAGCTTCTTGACCGCTAAATATTCATGGAGGATTTTGTGCACTCATGACTCATACCGATGCTTAAGCTTGTCCGTATCTGCGGATAAGTCACTCTTTTGTCAATCTCTATCATACGCCGCACAACACTGATGTCATCTTCAGTCGTCGCCGTAGAAGGCCGTCCCTCGCGCAAATCATCGGTGAGATTAGTGTGACCACATTTAAACTCATTAAACCAGTTGTAAACAGTTGCACGAGATGGGGCTTCATCGTAAAATGCCAATTGAAGTTTATTATAACTTTCTTATTGACTTAAATGACATTGAAAGTCATTAAAATTCATTGTATGAAAATTTTCTCGGGTTAATTTCATCCTGACGTGACATACACAATTTTCAATTTGCCGCCAAATCCAGCCAAATCGTACACAAATGACAAATTAATAAAATACACAATAATATTGGGTGCGTTTGGCAGAAAAAAGCGCTAGCAAGCGCTTATAAGCGCTGAAATAGTTTTCGGCCAGGACACGATTGCTACTTCAGTAGCGCTGACACAATCCGCCATTTTGCTTATTTAATTTGTTTGTTTTGAAGTAGAGTTTATAAGTTGTTTTGCGCAATATTCGTTTTAAGTAATATAATGACATGAATAAACATATACATGTTATTAAAAATTCATGATTGGTAAGTTTTTAATATGAATACTTTACAAACATATATTTAAATTAGGTTAGGTTCCCCGGTTAAAACTAACATCGTGTCCTGGAGGAAAATAGCTACTTACGATTTGACAGCGCTTACCGCTTACGATCGCCATTTTGCTTACAATCGCTTGCTAGCGCTTTTTTCTGCCAAACGCACCCATTGGCAAAGAGTTTCATTTTCAAATTTTGAACTTATTTTTTTATTATAATGTTTACAAGTGACCAGTTCTAAAAACTTTCAGTGTCGCCCTCGTATCTCCTGATTTGTTTCTGTCTGTCTCCACTTACGACATCCAAGGCGTAATATAACTGATTCCTTAGAGGATAATTCTATATTAGGCGACCATCAGCATGTATTTAGAAGAAATAGGAGTACAGCTACAGCCATAACTAGTTTTACAGACTATATAAAAGAAAGATTAAATGAAAGAAAACATGTAGTAGGCATATTTATTGATTTAAAAAAAGCTTTTAACATTTTAGAACATAATCTCTTGTTGAAAGCAATGGATGAATGTGGTATACGCGGTCCCATTAATAGGTGGCTACGTAATTATTTGCAACATAGGAAAATAGTGACAGTCATTAAAAATATTACGGGAAAAGAGGAAAATGTAAAGTCAGGTGTAACTACTGGATCCGTTTATGGACCAGTGGGTTATATAATACATTTTAACAGTATATGTAACATAATAGAACTCTG